AAACCCTCAAACCAATCTTCCGTTGATCAATAGCAGTACTCACTACTTTGCTTGGCATTGGCGAAGCTGTTCGAACCAAAGATTTTTAAGACCCTCTTAATTTCTGTGGGATATTTAACAGAACATATATTCCAACTCTGACTACAAACTGTAGTGTTATAAATTTCATTTTCATATTTTAGGCCAAATATCTGCTACTGTGAAACCAGGAATATTGCTTTAATGCTTCTGCTGCGTGGTTTTTGCCTTGTGTGTTGGAGCAGAACCTTGCTTAAAGATCCAATGCACTCCATCGAAGAAAGTCTTGCTTAATTACTTTATCACGCCTTCAAAAACGTCCTGGTGGTACATTTTCCTCACAGTTTTACGCCTTTTTCACAGAAACGAAGCAGTGTAACGCCGGGAGAGTCGCCTCCAAACCACTTCGCCAGCTGGATGGTGACCACACTGAATGCTTTTTTGCATCTTTGGATCTTTTTGGTTAGTATGGTATATGGATCAGTAAAATCTCAACCAAACCGCCAAGAATACTATATAAACGGAAATGAAAGAAATTTTGCAAATTTTTACATGAATAAAAAATAACAGGAAATAAAATTATTGTTCACAAACATTACCAAAAATTCCTTGTGAGAATTATACTTCAATCGTTCAGTTTGGATGACAGCTACATGCTACAGTGATCCAATCTAAACATATACCCTGTTCGGAATATAAAAGGTCAGATGGAACTATATATAGCTATAGCAATTAAGATGATTTTCAACACCCTGTCGAATTTTTCAATATTAGCCATTTCTAAACAATACTTCTGGGATTATCTAGCAGAACTAATTGCTGCAAAAAACCTAATTTTTTCTATTTCAATCGGTAGTCATTTCCATACTTTCTTCCGGCAAAGATTTCCATTGCAACTACAACTAACGCTCGTAATAAACACAATAAACGACAAATATGTACACACACACATGCAAAATAAAGAAAACAAATCACTTCGTAAGCATTTATGCAAACATTTTAGGGCGAAAGTGGGTAAAAGGAAGAAGAAAAGCGGAAGAGTTGCAAGAGTATGCTTGCAAATGCCACAACCAAGCCCAAATGGTTAATTTACGCCCCTGTTTTTGCTTCACATCATTTACATGTGTTCTAAGTCTGTGTATATTTATGTAAGAGCGCATGTATGTAAGTACATCGAAGCACACTTCGACAATCCCGTCGACAACAGATGGAACAATTTGTAAAATATTTAGAAGAGCTTCGAGTGCTTCACAGTTGCTTCGATTGCACTCGATAGTGGCGCTGAGGAGTGTTAGAGGCTGTGGACATACCGTTAATTGATATGCAAGTGGCGCAATTAGATTTTAAAAGCAAACCCCCCTTTGGTGTTGCACTTGTTAACGGGAAGGCGCGCGTCAGTTGTGGGAACAGACTTTTTTTCTCATGGAAGCAGGGAATAACTTCACGCAAGGTGGCTAACAGAACTATGTTTGTACTATGCAAATGAACAAGTTGTTAAAATATTGCACTTTTCTTATTACGATTAGTTGCACAGATCCGCTTCGGATTTCTTGCGCAAATGAAATGAATTATTCAACTTCCGGAAGGAAAAGGATTCCGCTATAATAAGAAAGGGGGAGAAATGCTCAGAATAACAAATTTGTAAAAAAACAGAAAAAATGTTAATTCGGCTGCAGCGGAGCTAAAATACCCTCACAGTTGTATTTTTTGTTACAGCTATATAGAGCTAAGTCATTTGTAGAAGCTAACGCAAGTGAGGAAAGTTCTCTGATCGCCATTCACTTGGGAGTTGCCACAAACGATTCTTTTACATATGGCTCAAGCAGGTCACGACATATGGTCTTTGACCAAGGGCAGCCTAAGAACATCCGTTTGAGGGCGAGCTAAAGTGAATAGGCGAAACACCCTCTCCACAGGGTTGTGCGCTGGGTTTAGAACCCGCCACGTAAAAAACGTACCCAATGAAAACTAACAATCATCCTCGGATGGGAGACCCCATGGCAAACGAATTAAGGATTACAATTTGAAGGCATACACCGGAAATCTCCGGTCCCAAAATCTGGTTATCTGTAGTACCAGATTCTAGTATAAGAAAATTCATCAAGCCACCCCTCTGTCGCCGGATCACCAACCAGATCGATCATATTTTGATAGACGGAAGACACACCTCCAGTGTTTTAGATGTGCATACGCTCCGAGGTCCTAACATCGATAACTGATAAGGAGCATGTTTCAGCTTCTTTGTGGAATATGATCGGACGAAAGCATGGCCAACGATTGGAATTTAAATGTGCTCTGCCCAATCCACAAAAATAACGACCCCGCAATCTGCGCCAACTGGGTATACTAAACATTGCATGCAAGGTTCTATGGAACGTATTGTGTGAAAGGCTAAAGCCCACCGTCAACAAACTCATTGGACCTTGTCAGTGTGGCTTTAGATCTGGAAAATCAAATATGACCAAATATTCGCCAAAAATTATGTTTCAAATAATAAGCATTTGTTCAAAATTCATGTTTGTAGGAATCAATTAAATATCCTCAAAAATAATACAATTACTAAGTATTGGAATAGTATATAATAGCAGAAAAGAACTGCAACCAAATACGTAGTGAAATAGATTATAACTGGCTCAGTAATCAGTTGTTGAGTATGTATTATACCACGTGCATCCCAAAAAGACTGATGTCATAGCCGATTCTTTCGTCTTTCCACACCCGAGAACCGGTTCATCATGTGCAGCCCACTAGAATGACTGTCGATTGGGCTCCAGTGGGAAATGATGGAGCTATGTTTCTATTGTCACACACCGACGAAAAAATTCGGTTTCATTACGATTTAAGAGCACGCAAACACTTCTCAGAATGAGTTACTCGTTGTCTTTGTTGGATTATGAACTTGCGAAGCACCCACTTTGCACAGAGTCTTCGCCTCTTTGGGGCTTCTTTCTAGTCTCTGCTCATTTCCCCTCTTTCATACTAGCAAATCCCTTTTCAACGGTGGATTTCCCTGGTGCAGAGCCCAAATTCAGCAGTATTTTCCCCCAAAAACCAATGCTCTTGGGTCAATTAACACTCGAAATGCTTTTACGATCCATTTTTTTGTAAACTAACACAATTTGTTTCACAAAAATGCTGTATCTCATTAACGAGCAGTTATAATCGAACTAATAGAAATTATATTGATGGTAGTAGTAGTATTATCTATGTATCAGCCACAGTGAAGCGTGGATGGGTCCTCTAGTGAGTATATAAATAAACAAGTTTTCGTACTTTGAGTGCGAACAAGAAAATACTATGAAGCTTGCTTGCCTGAAGTGTTACTTGCTGGTGTTATTTGCATGCCGAAAGCATTATTGCTGCATACTTTTCATAAACTAAAGACAGATACTAATAATCCGAGGTTTTTGATACAACACGTCAATATCAACCATCTAGGTGCTATCATAAAGTGAAATAAAGTTTTTCGTTTCTTATAAAGAAAGGTGCCTTCAATCATCTGGCTGTCTGACTGTCACACCATATGGACGAAGTTCCATTGAAGCAATAAATTATATAAAATATTCGAAGTAATAAAGCCAAAATGTCACAATTTCAACCATACCATATAATTTTATTATATTCCTAATAAGAGCGATATTCCTCTGCATCACAACCACAACGGAAATTCGATTTCCGTGATATTATCGACTGAAGATTTTCGCTATATTAATAGTGGGAAAATTATCTTTGTACTTTCTGAGATTTACAATCTTATATAAAAGTAGGCATTAGTAATTGAGTAGCAATATTTAATTTTCAGCAAATATTACTGTACTTAGGTTATTTCGTAATAGAAATCGACTCGCTTGTTTGAAATCGATCAAAAAAATTCTAAGCTTTACCTTGACTGAATCACAGACAGGTATTACTTACTCAGCTTTGAGTTTCTGCTATAGTAAATGGACAAATACAATCGAAATTCTCTTTTACAGTGCTTTGCAGCTAATTCTCTACAAGTGCTAAACCTTTTACAAAGTTACTTTAGTCGGTACAGATGCTGTCACTCCCGTTTGTTCTTGTTTTCTTTGGCACTCTATAAAGTCAGTGCAAATTGAGTTTCTATTAACTGAGCGCCAGCAACGCGGCAGTGGAGTGGCGCAGATGCCATTGATGGATGCATTTGCAAACGAAGAGGCTTTAATTACACACTTTTCTCTTTGTGTGCTCCTTGGGTGACGACGTAATAGGACGAAATAAATTGCAAAAAATAGCGCTAATACCGTTACAGAATTGAAAGATTGTTAAAGAGCCAATACTATTGTGGTTAAATACCTTATTTATTTGGTTTGGAATTAAAAACTAAAATATTGGCTGATAGAGATTCCAAAGTAAAGGTTGATTAAAGCAAAATAAAAAGACTCTAAAAATTAAATATAATTAGCTATCTTCAAAATTTGAGAGTAGTTGTATAGAACAAACAACTATCAGAAACCACTTACGTTGACATAATAATCAAAGACAAGTAGAATAGAAAACAGTTATAGAATTCATTGTTGTGGTTTCGCATTGCAGAATTGTTGACAAGCTAGCATAGCTCAAACTTAGCGAGTGACGTGTCGAAAACAGCTGGTACGTTTGCTATTCATAACGGCACTTCTCATCACCTCATTAAGAAATTTCACGCCACTGTGAGAAACTCTGGCACTTCATTAATATTTAATTAGTAAATATTGTAGTTCATATGTACATATAACTGCTTATTTGTTAGTGCTTCCTCATTGGCATGTCTGTCTGTCATAAATTTTCGGCTGAGATCTTTATCTTCTTTGTCTTGTTTTATACAAACAGAAAATGTTTTGTCTTCACACCCAAAGGAATAATAAAAAGCAATTGAGATTATTCCACACTTTCTACATACTTACAAGTGACATACATACACATTTATGAGCATAACAGTCTTTACTAATTAACAAAATTATTTTCATATTCTTCTCTTTCAGATAACTGTCGAATACTCTTTCAATTAGCTGTTTCTGAATAAAGGGTTGGCACAAAACCGCAATTACCGTAAAAGTAAGTGATATAGCTTCGTTTTAATTAATTGTTTCATTATTGTAATAAGAACCTATATATTTATATTCATGACTATAAGCAATACAAGGTGGAGTCCAAAGTAAACAGGACTTAAAAAAACAGAACAAATAGTTTTTTCGGCAAAATCAATTTATTTTATTCAAACTAGTTTCCTACTGCTTCAATACAGCTTTTTGCACGGTTCAGAAGCATGTCGAAGTAGTGTTCTAGCTCGTTGGCCGGTATGGCCAACATTATGCCGGTGCAAACCTTTTGAATGGCCTCTACGTCTGCAAAACGCTTTCGTTTCATGGGCAAATGCATTTTTTCGAAAAGGAAGAAGTCGCACGGTGCCATACAGGTGAATACGGGGAGTGGTTAATGGTTAAAATGTGATTTTTGGTCAAATAATCGTCTTTCGAATGTTCGATTCTGAGAAATTTTTGGTAGTCAGTCAATTTGTGCGGAACAAACCGTGCACACAGGATCCGTCGAAATCGATACTTTGGAGATGTTCAATTCCATTTCTATGAATTTCAATGAGGATTTGGATTGATTTTTGATGAATTCATGCACAATTTCGAAAGAATTTTCGGTGATCACGGATTTTGATTGGCCCACGTCAATTATGTCCTCACGACCACTTTGAAAATGTTGAAACCACTCGTGCACTCTGCTACGGGATAGACAATCGTCGCCATAAACTTGTTTCATCAATTGAAACGTTTCGTAAAAGTTTTAACAATTTTAAAACAAAATTTAATGTTGGCTCTTTGTTCGAAGCTCATTTTCTGACAATTAAAACGCAATAACTTCACTTCTAATCAATGAAATATCATGAAATTCTCACTGGACAATCGATGAAGCTAGCGAATTCTAACGTATCAGTCTGTATGTCACCAGGGCGCTAGATTTAAATTCCTGTTTACTTAGGAACGCACCTTGCATATGATATTATCGCATCGTCGTTCGATGGAGTATTTCGACCGTCTTTTCGAAAACACGTTGAAGAACGGGCTTCACAAAATTGTGATCGGGTTTTAGAAGCTTTTGATTGAGATTTCTCGTACTTTAGGTGAATTTTGAATTAGACATCTCTTCTACTCAAATTTTGTTCAAGAAATTTAAAATCACTGAATTAAAAAAAAAAATCATTTAAATCCCGAGCAAAGTGTTTAGGTCTTCACTTTCACGTTTGCATTAAGACTTAACCGTATATAGCATTTCTTAAATATTGGTCCATAATTCTACCCAGGCATAGACCTAAAATAGGCGATACAAATCTTTATAATCGAACACCTGAACAGGTTAAGTTAAGCTAAGGGGTCGATCCTGCTAGGATTTCACTTGGGCAGCTTAGAACACTGGTTCGTTGGGGTACCTAAAACATCGATGTTATAGATCATATGACCCTTAAAATCGAAAAAGTACTTAGAGCGTAAAACAAATATATGGCTCATGCTAGTTTCGGCTATTTCTTTTGGTTCACCGAAGATAAGACTGCCGTGATGTTTTAGCCCCAGACTTGCAAAGGCTGGACAATGGAGAGGAAGGTGCATAGGTTTTTTACAACTAGCGTCCGAGCATTGTGCTCAGTAAGAACACCAACGATTACGGCAAGGTGAATTATGCTAATTCAGGAGATCTCCTAAACTCTACTCACAAGAGGTACATTGGTCCAATGCTAGAATTCAAGATGAAAATGGAGATCCAAATGGAATCCAACTCGATATCATCGATATTCATCGGAAAAAGTATTTCATCTGTTTATTAAATTACTACATAAATTAAGCAAACTAATATTAACGGTATATCCAGTAACATAGCAGAATTTTTAAGCTTTTAAAGTCTCTAGAGCGCTAAAGATTCCTTCCACATGTGAGCCTTAATATCACTTTTAACAAATTCACTTTATTTAATACACTTATTTCCTGATTTCCGACGAATTTTGTGTATTTTTTCGAGGAGATCAGTGTGATACGAGTTAAATAAACACAGAATCTAAACGACACATGTGTGAATGGGCGCTGAACGTGACTGAAATAGTAATGCAAATTTTGCATACGGAAAATAAAAGTTTTTGCGAGCGAAAACAAATTACGACAACGAGTAGACAATAAAGCAAACTTTTGGCAAATAACAAAGAAATATACATGGTATAATATAAGCTAATCTAAATTCTGTCGAAAAGTGTTGTGAATGCGGGAATTTACGCCTACAAATTTGGCTATTGGATTATAGAGGCCGTTTGACAAATTTGTGACTTGTTGGAAGCAAAAATTTTTATCCCTTCCAAAATCTGGGCATTACTAAAGTCGTAAACCAAGCGATTATTTCAAGGATGCTATTTTCAATTGATCAAAAACTTTTAATGAGCTAATTTCTCTCTAGGATAGTTGTGTTGTCCTTAACATTTTCTTGATATTCCGTGAAGCTATTATATTTTTTACCTTTTATTTTTCAAAAAAGACTCTAATCTTTTTGATGAAAGAGATTGGATCTGCTTCAGATCAATTCATTGGTTGGAGAATAATGTCAACATATTGTTTTCTCTGATCGAGTATAACCGCAGTAACCCATTTCTCTATCATCAGTTAATGAATTGGTTCTGCCGCCCACGCCCAACAACTTCGGTAGTAAATATAAACTTTATAGAATCATAAAACACATACTTCTTCATTTAGTTTAGTAGTTCATTATTTTACCATAAAGAGTCTCGTTTGAAAAGATCTTTAACTTTTTTCTAAGATGTTTTATAGATTGCAGTTTTCAGTTGCTCACTGCTCCTTCTTCAGCATCATTCTTTCAGCTGTTGATATCAATCTCAAATCTGTAAAGAATATGTTTAACGATAGCTATGGTGGTCATACTCTATCGGTATGAAGTGAGCATTAAGATACAAGAGTGTTGGCAGGGAACATTCATTTGGTTGTCATGACATCTATCAAACAGAGTCGCATCGAATGCTTGTCGAAGCATATGATGATCATGTTCTATCGAAGAATCATGCAACAGATGGTTTCAACGGTTCAGAGATAATGATTTTGAGGTGAGAAATGCAGAGCTTGGAAGACCACTAATAAGTCTGAAAACGCCGAACTGCAAGCAATATTGGATAAAGATGATACTTTAAAAGCTATGGGAAAGATCCAAGAGTGCGAAAAACGGGTGCCACATGAATTGAATGAAAGACAAATGGAAAACCGAAAAAGAACCAAACGATTCTTGCATAAAAAGCACGTAAGAAAATCTTCAAATTGTCACTCTCGCTGAAAATGGATTTACTTTAAGAATCCTAAACTGAGAAAACCATGGGTTAATAGGGGCAACCGGACATGCATTTACTGTTGGGTGTATGATTGGTTTGCTTCAAAAGACGAACATTTCTATTGGCGTGGTGTCCACAAATTGCCAAGAAGGTGGACAAAATTTAAATAAGCCTTGGTTAAAACTTTAATTAGTTTTTCTTAATTTCTCATTTATTAGCATTTAATTTTAACCAAAAAACGCTAATTAATGATCCGCTTACTTAGGTCGGTTTTGTGCTTTTATAAGTGGCTTTGTGGTCAGTGAAAACATTTTTTGTTGGCAATCCGTTGTTTCGGTTACATATATGAAATTTAATCAAAAAATCCACGACATATGTATAGTGCAAATTTTGGAATAATCTTTCATATATTTTTTTAACTAGTACATTTTAAAAACCGGTAAATCCACATTACCAACATAAAGACTATTAGGATCAATAAGTCGGCTGATTCTCCATGGTTGGCTTCAACATTTCAAACTAACTATCAAAGTTAGGCAATTAAAATAATTTCTTTCGTATAACCTAAAATTTCATTATTGTAAACCATATATCGCTGGAGAGTCTAGGGTCTATTTCGAGACTGTTTGGGCTTTTTATTTCGATAGTGGATGGTTTCAAGAGTGATATTGGTTTTTCAAAAAGTTATATTGGTTATACCTTACCAAATTTCAAATTACTTCAACATTTGGTCTCTGACGATATAATCAGCCTTTACTGGTATTTTAGTCGGAAAAGAACTGTTTCTTCCAAAAACTAAGCATGTCCTGAAAGACATCTTTCAACTTTCAAAGATTTTAAAATTATTTTTTTTTTTACCGAGATAATTTATTTCATTAATTTCCAGTCTTATGAGTTACAAAGAGAAGGACCGACTAAATGTTGCTCCAAAAAAATTAAAAGGCTGAGAACGGTATGCCAGAAAGGAAAAATGAGTACGTCATTTAGATATATTATTAGGATTAAGAAAGTGTGTACAATACGAATGAAAATGCCAATGGGTTATCAAACAAACCCTGTATTGCATCAGCAGAAGATGGTAGCAGCGCTTGCCTTCCCGAATGACAAAACTGTTGCCAAGTTGCCAAAGCAGCTGTTGATTGTCAAGGTACCATGAACAGATGTGATTTCGACTTATGCCTAAAACATTACATATTTTTTCAAAGTGTTCATGGCATTGTGTTGTTGCCATTATAGTTACAAAGCTGGTTGTACTTCCACGACCTACAGATGTTCCCAGAGACATATTTACATGCTCACTTTCACTTCTTATTTATGCACGGCTTCAATGTCAATAACATGAGACACAATATTTGCCGAATTTGCATTGGAAACTTTACGAAAAATTTCCCAAAAAAAGTTTAAAATTTAGGAAGAAAGAAACAAATAATTTGAATTCACAAAGTTTACCGCAACATAAACCAAACAAATACAAACACAAATTTACTTGAGAGCATGTAAATAAGAGGAAAGGTTACCTACTGAGGTCCTTGAACTCCTGTAAAGGTTTTTCACAGTTTCCCTCCATGCTTCGAGAGCGGAATGATTTTGTTTTAGTATAAGCGGATTTTATTTTGGCGCTTGTTTCTCTTTTCTTTGCGGCGAAGCTATTGAATAACTGTTTGTTTAGCTTTAACCCTCATATAGAAAATTGATACAAACTCCACGCAGACAATAGCCATTAAAATCAATAGAGC